GCGGCAGTCTACAGCCATTTTCAGATCTCTCCAGAGATGTTCAATTGGATTTAGATCTGGGCTCTGGCTGGGCCACTCAAGGATATTCTCAGAGTTGTTGTGAAGCAACTTCATTGATATTTTGGCGGTGTGCTTTGGGTCATTGTCCTGCTGGAAGATGAACCGTCGCCCCAGTCTGAGGTCAAGAGCACTCTGAAGCAGGTTATATTCAGGATGTCTCTGTACATTGCTGCATTCATCTTTCCCTCTATCCTGACTAGTCTTCCAGTTCCTGCTTCTGAAAAACATCCCCACAGCACGATGCTGCCACCACCATGCTTCATTGTAGGGATGGTATTAGCCTGGTGATGAGCAGTGCATGGGTTTCTCCAAATGTAACATCAGTGGAAACAGAATGTAGCTGAGCTCAATTTAGAGCTTCATGGCAAAGGCTGTGATGGATGTACATCCTTTTGTACATGTGATTTTTCAGGTGTTTTATTTTTAATAAATTTGCAACAATTTAATAAAAAAAACTTTTTTTCACATTGTCATTATGGATTATTGTGTGTAGAATTTTGAGGAAATAAATTTATTTAATCTATTTAGGAATGAGTCTGTAAGTAAAAAAAAAAAATGTGAAAAAAGTAAAGAGCTAAATAATTTACAGGTGCACTGTAATTCCATTAGCATCATAATTTACGGCCCTATACACATTTCCACCGGAGTTTCATGTAATTTCGGGTGTTTCATTTTGAATTTGTCTACTTTAACTGCAGTTTGGCACTTTTTCTTTCATTCAGGAGCATTTCATGTGTGCCTGCTATAACAAACAAGATATTGGATGTATGAACTGCTGGAAGAGGGTTTTTTTTATGGAATTTGATACCACATGTTGCATGCAGAAAAAAAACTCTGCATTTCACGATGGAGGTGTCCGTGGTCCTTGGTAGGTGCAGAGAATAGGTGTATATGTGTATAGGCTATCCTGTCACAAAATGCGGCGAAAATCCTACATGACCATAACAGTTTGATTAAAGTTTTACACTTAACGCGACTAAAACCGGCATATGCCCATGTCTTAATTTGATTTCTGTTTAGTTCAATTATGACTTTAGTCGGATTAAATTAATCAAAAATCACTGTTTACATATTAGACTCTTAATCATAGTATTGTCTTAGTCGCATAAATAGCGTATTATTTGTGTCCATGTTCTCATTGTCAGATTATGCTATTGTAACAAAGGCCGGAGGCCAGCCAGCTGCTTTAATCCCAGCTCGGAGCGGGTTGGGTGGTGTAGAACTGGCGGGTTACACTATACCAAAAAGATAATAATGAATTATCTACTATACTTACTACAATCATAATGTAATACAATTTGTATGAAAAACAACTATCACCATACAATACAACCAACCATACACATTTAATAATAAAAGTTTTGATAAAACATTCTTCAAATAATAATTTTTATAGTTAAAAAAAAAAAAAAAACTTGTGTGAAATGAGAATGTTTGTGGATATTAAAAGTTTTTTCATGCAACCATTAATAACAATAAAGAACCTTTATTCTTTAAGGGATAGTTCACCCAAAACTTAAAATTCTGCCATCCTTTACTCACTCTTCACTGATTCAAAACCTGTTGGATTTATTTTTCCTGTTGAACACAAAAGAAGTTTTTTTTTTTTTTTTTTTTTAAAGCTGGACTGTGTGAAAGTGATTGGCCTCCATAATATTTGTTTTTCTCTACTAAGTAAGTGGTTAAAGGTTTCTAACATTTTTCAAAATAACTTATTTTGTGTTCAACAAAAAAAGGTTTGGAACCACATGAGGGTGAGTAAATGTAATGTTTTTGGGTAAACTATCCCTTTAAGAGTGTACACGGTGTACAAAATCATCTAGAATTGACTCAAACTGATGTATGTTTTATGTAAGAAACACTTCACCCACAATAATTCTGAGAGGCCTTATTATATATGACAACCAGGGCAAAGAGAGCGAGCCAAAGGCTGAGAGATGAGACATGGAGCCAAGGTCAGAGTCCTCAGGCATGTTTGAGAGCGCAGATTCTCCCCGAATATTCTCTGCACAGAAAGACTCATCTCACACACTTGGCTTGAGAGCTGTGGGGGTTTTGACATTTTCGCCAGGAAAAAAAAAGAGCAGCAGCAAAAGTAAGATGTGAAACTGTGACCCATCACTTTCAGCTCAGGCTGTGTGTTTAAAAGCCTGCTGAAGGGAGACTGTTGTCTGATACAGAGCGGTTGGCCGTGTTCATCAGCCACTGAATATTACTCACAGTGTAAGACTGTGTGAGTCATGCAAGTAAAATGCTCAGCTCACAGTTATTACTAGAGAATGATAAACAGTAGACACAGGTAATACAGCAGACACACTCATATTTCACTGTCATAGGCTTTTTTATTGTGAGAGTCACACACAAATATTAAATAAATTTTTGTTTAAAAGGCTTTATGGAGCGTCTCGGTGGTGCAGCGGCTAGCATGATTGCCTCAGAGCAAGAAGTTTGCTGGTTCGTGCCCAGGCTAGATCATGTTTGGCATTTCTGTGTGGAGTTTGCATGTTCTCTCTGTGTTTGCGTGGGTTTTTCTCCGGGTGCTTCGGTTTCCCCCACAGTTTAAAAACATGCAGTACAGGAAAATTAAATAAGCTAAGTCGGCCATAGTGTATGTGTGTGAATAAGTGTGTATGGGCGTTTTCCAGTGGTGGGTTGTGGCTCGATGGGCACCCGCTGCATAAAACATATGCTGGATGAGTTAGCAGTTCATTCCGCTGTGGAGACCACAGATTAATAAAGGGATTAAGCCGAAAAGAAAATAAATGAATAAAAATACTTTGTTTTAAGGATTTCTTTATTAATTTGTGTTTTTTTTATTATTTTTTTTATTACTTTTGAAAATAATTATAATATTCATAGCTATTTTTTAAGGCATGATGTAAACTGAAGTGAGTGGAACCTTGTCAAGTATGGTTTTCTTACAATCTAAATTGGTCCTCTGCTTTTAACCCATCTAAGTGTAGACACACGTTTTTGAGTGAAGAGTGAGAGCACACCACACACACACACACACACACACACACACACACCCGGAGTGGCATCTATTGCTTCATTCAGAAATTGAAACCAAAAATTTCAATGCATTGTTCAAATACCATTTGTTCAATTACTTACTAAACTATTAAATTTCTTCTTTACCTAAAATATATTATTAGTTTTTAATTTGAATGAATAATTTCAAACACATTGTGGAGTTGGTGTATGGTTGTGACAAATAGCACTCATAATGCATTGAAAAAAAGGTATATGTCCAGCATAAAAGTGTATAGGCTTTAGTAATGGAACAAAATTTATTCATTCATTTTCCTTCGGCTTAGCCCCTGATTGTCAGGGGTCGCAACAGCGGAATGAACCGCCAACTATTCCAACATATGCTTTACACATTGGAAACTTCCAGCCGCAATCCAGTACTGGGAAACACCCATCCGCTCATTCACACACACTTGTACACTACGGCCAATTAAGTTCATCCAATTCACTTATAGTGCATGTCTTTGGACAGTTGGGGAAAGCGGAGCACCTGGAGGAAACCCATGCAAACATGTGGAGAACATGCAAACTCAATGCAGAATTGACAACTGGCCCAGATGGGACTCGAACCAGCAACTGTCTTGCTGTAAGGCGATAGTGCTATACCCACTGAGCCACAGTGCCGCACAGGGAACTAAACATTTGCAATTTTTTTAAGTTTATCAAAATACATGTCTGATCTATTTATTTATTTACCATTATTCTTAAGCGTTCATATCAAAAAAAATGTTAGACACTGGTATGTATCGAGCACATTTTGGTGCTAAAAAACTTTTGTAAAATCAAGTATGGATTTCTATCAGTGTCAAAAAAGGTCAGATAAATATAGCCTTCCCCCCCATATTTCATCCATGTTTGAGCCTGAATGTTTTGGTAAATATAAACTTTATGTACAACCTTAATAGAGGTTGCATGGGAGAGTTTTGTGTTTTGTTTTACTTTGTTTGACTATAGAATAAAAAATATTTGTTAATTCTAAAGAGGTGGCACGGCGACTCAGTGTTTTGCACTGTCGCCTTACAGCAAGAAGGTTGCTGGTTAGAGTCTAGGCTGGGTCAGTTGGCATTTCTGTATGGAGTTTGCACGTTCTTCCCATGTTCGTGTGGGTTTTCTCCAGGTGCTCCGATTTCACCCACAGTCCAAAGACATGCGGTATAGGTGAATTGAATAAACTAATATGGCTGTAGTGTATGAATGTGAATGTGAGAGTGTATGGGTGTTTCCCAGTACTGGGTTGCAGCTGGAAGGGCATTCGCTGTGTTAAACATATGCTGGATAAATTGGCGGTTCATTTCACTGTTTTAGTGAATAAAGGGACTAAGCTGAAGGAAAATGAATAAATGAATAATTCCAAAAAAATTATTTATCATATTGCATATTTTCTAAATGTTATATCATCAAACATTATCTGTGTGTGCATATCCAGGCTATATGTTTACAGCACTGCTGTTTTTATTAACATAAAGTGATCAAAGGAAAATCATAATTAAATATTATAATATTACGTTATTTTTGTTGATGAAATAGGCTACATTATTCGGATCCATTACATGCGTTAGAAGGTTAATATGAATTGTTTAAGGATACACATTTCATAATTTTATTTATTTTTAAAAATATTTTATTTAAACAAACCTAATGCTACACCATCAATCTGATGCATTCAAGCAGTCGCGCACGCTCACAATAGCATCTTGTCGCTGGATGCAGCGAGCGCGCTTCCTGTTTTCTACCCATCATGCTTTTGATGGAGGAATGATGACGGATCATTAATTTGGCCTGTCGCAAAAGGGGCTCGATGTTCTCACGCAACCGTATCATAACGTCACTGACGTGGACGGCGATAATAAATAATGAATGTGCCAGCTTATCACGTGGAGGAGGCGTCTGAATAATTTAACCCCTCCGTTACTACACGATAGTACATCCCTTTCCGCAGCATCCGAGATGAAGCGTCCCTCCCTGCGACGACCTTAATCCTTACAATGATGATTTTGTCGCTTTAAGTGCTGCTTTGAGTTTATAGGAGTGCGTGAAAGCGTTATAAGACACGGAAATGCATCCTGCTTGGGACCCACCTGTCTTTAGACTCCGCCACCGCCTCGCGCGTCTCTGAGCCGCAGCACCGCACATCAGCATCGGCACAGCTGGACAGCGGCGGCCGGGAAGGTAAGAGCTGACCGAGAGCGGACACTGGCTCAGGATGTCCACCAGACCATTTTACACCATTTTAACATAAAACAAGAAGCGTATACGAAGTGCTTCAAAGAATAAGTGTAAGAATAATTCATATTTAGTTGCTTTTTCGGGATACAATTGTGTTTTACTTACTCTCTCGGGATTTCAGTGATATAGCAGTTAACTTTGTTGTAAGCTGACGTCACTTGTGTATTAAAAAACCACATTACGGTGGTGTTTTAAATGAGAACAAAACATTTTGTTTCAGTATCAGCTGCTTGTGTTTGACGGGAGGGGCGGTGCGAGATCGCTATCAAGTCAATGTCTACATTTCAATAACATGTTTTATTTTTTTAATGCAGTAGAAATTGCTGCATTATTAATGACATGGTTTTTAGATAAGCAATGGCCTCTTTTGATCACACAGACTGCGATAGTGTCTGTAGGGAAGCTCTGGGCAGTAAAACGAGGTTAATCTCCAATGACATGATGGCAGTTACTCGCGGATGCTGCTTTGTTTATAATCGGGCGTGTAAAAGACAGAGGCGCTGACCGTGGTGCTGAAACATACACGTCCCGATTTGGACATCGTCAAGCTTTTGGTGTAATGTTTGACTTGTGCTGTTTAAATTGCAGTTGGTAAAGCGACTTTTGTCCTGCTTGATCGAAACATAACCTCATTTTCTTTGAATGAAATTCATCTGTGAACCTCTTTGGTTGTTTTGCTTGTGAATGGTCCATAAACAGTTAAACAGAAAGGGGAAATTATTGGCATTCCTGATGTTCCATTATATTAGATTATGAGGTCTGTGTGCCTTCATTGAATAATCAATCTTTGTGTATTTGTTGGTCTTATTGATTCTGAGCTTATTTATTTTGATTTATTGACTTGGGTTTTAATATGCTCTGCAGTCATGTTTTTATTACACTTCAACCCACCATATTTTTTAATCTACCATATCACAATGAACCACATTGCTTTTAGTCTAAAAGATTGTGGTACAAGGCAGGAGAGAGGGTAATGTTGCTTAATAAAGGTTGTGGCATTTGTAAACACGCAAACAAGATCATAATTTGAAAAGGTTAAATGGTCCTGAAAAAAATAGTTACGTCTGTTTTGTTTGTTGTCAGAAATGGCCGTATTGAAAATCTGAAATAGAAAATGTTTGGTATTGTGCCCACACAAAAGCTTACTGAATGCTAATTTTTTGAGAACAACTTGTTTCCACTTCAACTTTATTTACCACCTACTGTATATTCTTTAAAATAAAAACAAAACAACATTAAGGTTGAGCTGAAATTCAAGATTTTCAACAGCTGAATGAATGTATTTTAACTGTAGCACACAGCCCCCTCAAAGCATAAATATTTTATCATATTTTGACCACTGCACAAACAGCACCACTGATAAACAGCATGAAATCCAATGTTTTTTCATGTTATCCATGTTAAATTTATATATATATATATATATATATATATATATATATATATATATATATATATATATATATATTATATATCAATAGATGTATATATAAATATATATATATATATATATTTAATTAATTAATATATAATATTAATATATATTATATATAATATTAATATATATATTATAATTTGTATATATATATATATATATATATATATATATATATATATATATATATACACACACACACACACACACACACACACACACACACACACACACACACACACACACACACACACAGTTGAAGTCAGAATTATTAAATTATTAGAATTAACAGAGCAAGGACATTTTCACAGTTTGTCTGATAATATTTTTTTTCTTCTGGAGAAAGTCTTATTAGTTTTATTTTAGCTAGAATAAAAGCAGTTTTTAGTTTTTTTAAAGCCCATATTAAGGTCAAAATTAGTAGTCGATTTAAGCTGTTTTACTCCTAAAATGACAAAAGCATAGAGTAACTTAATTTTTCAGTAAGAACAAAAAAGGAAAACAGATTTCCAAATATAGCGTCTGTGTGTTTGTTGTGTGTGTATGTATGTGTTTTTGTGACCTAGCAGGACACAAATCACCAATATAACATAGGTATGCCACAGGTATTATAAAAAGGTGGTGAAATATGACAAATAAATAGTGTTGGTGAAATTAATGCTGACGTCCTCATTTCTCCAAAAGCTTATAATTCAGACAGAATGATTTTTTTTTTAGAAAGTAAAACTGCACACAGTTTTCTTTTGTGGGTTGAGTTTAGGGGAAGGGTGGGGTTAGGCTGATAGAAAATACAATTTGTACAGTAGAAAAACAATGGAAAAGTACCCACACTGTAAAAAAAAAAACTGGTTGCCTTACATTTTTAAGCTGAATAAAATTAACCTTAGGAGTGTATTAGATTTAGATTGTTAAACTGACTTAAAACAGCTTGCATAACTTATAAAATTAAGTTAAAACATGATTAACTTAGTTTAATAAGTTACAATGACCTAAAACATATACTGTCAGGACTAATTGATCATATATTATTTTTTTACAGTGCACATTTGATGAAAACAAACATGTGTGTTCTGACTCAAAAGTCTACAAATAGCTTTTTGAACTCTGACTCATGGGTTCACCAGTATCACTTGCTTTTTTTCTGAATGAGCCTCCTATAAATCCTCCCATTAATCTCCTGCCACCATTGTGATGTCACTGGCACTGTTTGCGCAGATGCAGTAATACAATTAAAGGCTTTCCGTCAATTAGGACCACCTGCAGACCAGCATGGATAATAGAGGAGAGCATGAGACACAATGCAGTCTGAAGAGCTCAGCTAAGAACAGACAAAAATAAACACACACACATTTTCACTACAAAGACAAATATATAATCTTTAACACGCAGTATTGGTAAAGTGGCAGACTACAACTTGGGGAACTTCTTTATAGATAAAAGGAAAGGGCTAATTTTAGTAGCTAAGATTTTGAAATCACCTATTGGCTTATGGTTTGTTTGTTTCAATATCTGAACAATTAAATGACAAGAAATAAAGTAAGATATTTTGAAGAATGTTAAATAGTCATTGACTTCTTTAGTATTTTCCCCCTATACGGATGTCATTGTATATCAATAGCCAACATTCTTCAGAATGTTTTTTTTTGTGTTCAACAGCAATAAAAAGCTTTAAATGCACTTGAGGTTGAGCAAAAGTATTTTCATCCTGGGGTAAACCATCCACACTGTATTGTTGCTTTGTTAAACAATTAGCAATAGTATTTGACAAAAACTGTATCCTTTAGTGTTCTTCTATTTGGTTTTGTTTGGCTCTGATTGTGCGCTGATGTACTTAGAGAAGTGAGTTGTACTGAGGGAGAGAGAGAGAGAGAGAGAGTGATAAATCTGATGGCCTGAAATGGTGTTAGTGTTCATGCCAGCCAGATTCACTCCACTCAGCAGCCGGTTTATATAACATTGCAGGAGGAGGAGAACAGGGTGGAGCTGCACTGTACTGGCCTGAGGAAACAACCGACTCCATGGGTGAAATCTATAGTTTTATTCAAGTTTTTGCATTAAGCATGTCTTCCTATTGCACACATTTATTTGGGTCCAAGGTGGTTTTGAGATGATAATTTCTTAATAAAATAGTAGCATTAATTTTCTAAATTGAATCAAATGAGGGTGGCATGGTGGCTCAGCGGTTAGCATTGTCGCCTCACAGCAAGAAGGTTGCTGATTCGAGTCCCAGCTGGGTAATTTGGCATTTCTGTGTGAAGTTTGCATGTTCTCCCCATGTTTGCGTGAGTTTTTTCCAGGTGCTCCACCCCCCCCCCCCCCCCTCATTCCAAACACATGCGGTATAGATGAATCGAATAAACTAAATTGGCTGTAGTGTGTAAGTGTGTATGGGAGTTTCCCAGTACTGGGTTGTGGCTGGAGGGGCATCCACTGTGGTGCCTCTGATAAATCAAGAGACTAAGCTGAAGAAAAATGAATCAATGAATCAATCAAATGAACTTTTGGTAGATAGCTCAGCTATCTTGGAAACAGGTGGCTACTGACTTTCGCAGTATATATTTTTGATGCTATGAAAGTGTCAGTGTTCGCAGGTTTCCAAAATTCTTCAAAATATTTTTTGTGTAAAACAGAAAAAAGGACAATCTTAAGTTACGTTTCATGCCAACGTTAAAAAAGTTAAGCATGTTGAAAACAGTTGTGGTGATTAATATTTTGGTTGCAACTGATACTGATTTAAAAAACTTTACTCTTTTTAAAACTCACCACAACTATTAACTAATATTTGCTACCTACTCACCACAACTACCATAACAATATATTATCAGTAAAGAAAAATAATTATTGCCATAAATCATGATTTCTTGATGTCCGATTTAATCAGTGTATTTTTTCCATCATGTGTCATTGTGTAATCAAAATGTTTTATTTTATTCTTGCTTTTGTTGTATTTATAAAATCTCTAAAAGGTAAGTTTTATAATTGTACAACAAAAACTTTTTAAAATAATTTTTCCTAAAAAATGTGTGTATGTAAAAAATCTAGCCTTTAAATTGGTGGTTTTATCTCCCACAACAATGTATTTAAAGATTATGATGTTAGTTTCTCTCACTGATTAGACTTGAAGCGCTAAAAGTTGTTTGCTCTATAATTGAAAGTACTCTTATTTTAAAAGATCTAACATGTAGAGTATTTTTGTTAACTGCCAATACTGGTATACCACAATTTCAAAAGGAAAACAGAGTATTTCACTAATCACACTTTGGTCAATTTAAAAATATTTTAATCCTGATTTTCTTAGTGCCATTTGATTTTAGCATTTGTGCTAGAAAGAGGCCATTTCGGCTAAAGTAAAAGAACTGTAAATTGTAAGTTCTCTTTAAGAAAGCATGTTCTTTTGCCCTCTTTCTGTGTGTGCATCCATTAGTGAAAGGTCATAATAATTTAAAGTGTTGAAATATAAGAACTGTTTATCTAATAGCAGAAAAAGATTTTTCTTGCTATGTTTGAT